CTCAAGGAGTGGATAATCTGAGTTACCCTATGTTTATTAAAGACATTGAATGTGTAGTTACAAACCTTCTCATAAAAAACACTCCAGGCTCAGATGGCTTCGGGAGTGATTTCCATCAAACATTTGAGGAAGAAATAATATCAGTGCTGCATAAACTCTTTTAGAAAATTGAAGAGGAGAGAATACTTCTCATCTTATTCTATGTCAACAGCATTACTCTTAATTACCAAAATCAGAAAAAGGTATTACAAGAGAAATACTGACCCTATCTTTCATGACATAGAGGTGAAAATTCTTAGCATTTTAAAAAATTTTATCCAAAGATATAGAAAAAGGAGACTACATCATGATTGACTGGGGTTTATCCCCAGAATACAAGGTTGTTTAATATTTAAAAAATCAACCAATGTATTTACTATATTAAACAAACTAAAAATTAAAAGTTATCTGATCATCACAATAGATACAAAAATGTCATTTGACAAAATTTAACATCCATTCCTGATAAAAACTCTCAGTAAACTAGGAATGGAAGGGAATTTGCTTGATTTAATACAGGGCATCTATGAAAAGCTTGTATTACACCCAATGGTGAAGAAGGAATGTTTTCTGCTAGTATCAGGAACAAGGCAAGGAACCATGCAATAAGGCAAGATAAGGAAATAAAAGACCTCCAGATTACGGAGGAAGAAGTAAGACTTTCTTTATTCACAGATGATGTGATCCCCTATGTAGAAAATCCTATGGAAGCTACAGAAAAACTCCTAGAACTAACAAGTGAATTTAGCAAGATCATGGATATAAAACCAATATACAAAAATCAACCATGTTTTTATATGCTAGTAAGGAAAAATCAGAAATTAAAATTAATAACAATACCATTTACAATAGCATCAAATATTAAATATTTAGGAATGAAGCTGACAAAAGATATGTAAGATTTATACACTGAGAGCTATAAAATACTGCTGAGAGAAATGAAAGAAGATGAGAATAAGTGGGGAGATAAACCATATTCGTTGGCCAAAACACTCCATGTTGTTAAGATATCAATGGTCCTTGAATTGTGTATGTATATTGAACTTTAGGAAGTGAAATCATATTTTATATTTATTATGAGGACTTTCTTCATAAAGGTATTCCACGATAATCACTCTGAAAAGTGAGGAAGTCATTTGCCCATTTTGTATCTCATGCTGCAGGTGTATGCCTTCATTCATTCTGTCATCTATTTATCCACGTTTTACATTCTACTTACTTCCAGAAAGGATCCTGTCCGTTTGCTTGCATAGTACCCTGGTGTGTGCATGATTGCCTTTCTTATTCCAAGTGTAAAATGAGGAAAGTAATTTCTACTTTTCAGGGTTATTGTCAATACCAAAGACAATATATGTAGAGTACCTATAGGCATAGGAAATGGGAGCTACTGTTAATATAGAACAATATTAGCAATTCAAAAAAATATTTATGATTTAGTGTTAATTCAATCCTACATTAATATAATGTTGATTATTATAATAGCGATATATGTTAACTGAGAACTTGTTAATTTTCCATTCCAAGCTCTGAGAATAGGGCTGGCTGAGCAGCTATGGCTGCAGCTTCTGGCTGTGGACGCCGGGGGGTGGGGGGGGCACTACCAGCTGGGCTTCTTTGCCTTCCTGGGCTGTCTGTGCCTTTGCTCAAAGTTTACTCTGTTTCTCCTCCTTCTCCTTGCTTCCTGGTCATCTTCCTCCTCTGTCTTTTAATATTCACTGTGTTTGTTTTCTGATCATCAAAGTTATAGGTATTCAAGGTAGAAAATTTGGAAAATATAGAGGAAATAAGGTCACCTTTAATCCTCACTGCCACCCCCCAGAAGTAGTCATTTTTTAGTATCTACATTCTTGCCTTTTTTCCCTAAGCACCTTCTCCCTAAATGGTATCATACTATGCATGTTGTATTTAAAGTTATTGGTTTGGATTATAGTAAAAATTTCCCGGTGCTATTAAAGATTGTTCTATGGCATGATTATGAAATGCTGCATAGTATTTCATTGCAAGAATGTATCATAAATAGTTCACTATTTTCATTTTAAAGGACTTTTGGGTTTCTTTCAGTTTTTCCTTTTCAAAAATAACTTTGTGATGAGCATCCTCACCAGTAAATCCTTATGCACATCCTTACTGATTCCTATAGGATTCTTTTCTGGAAGTGAAATTACTGGGTTAAAATTTTGCATATTTACACATCATTTGATACTTATGGCTAAATTATCCTTGTGACAGTTGTTTTGCAATGAACAAGAGAGTTGGTTTGCCCACATGTGTGATAATTCTGGGGATTTTTTTTTTTAATATTAGATAATTTGAAAGGAAGACAAAACATATCTAACTGTGGTCTTAATTTGCATTTCTCTTTTTGACTAGAGTGTGAATGTCCTACTGATGTCATCCTCCCCGGGGTTAGTCTGCTCCTACAGCTGCTTTCTGTTCATCAGTAACTTGGTAATGTGCTTCAGGGAGACTCCCCTCCTCAAGCCACCTCAGCTGCCCTCTTACAGAGTGAACAGTATGCTGGAAGGCCTTCATTTGCTTTTTTATTTTTAGAATCTGGTGCAAATGATTTCACATGTATTTTCTGTGAATCCTTACTATAGCCCTAGCTATGAGATAGGTACTATTATTAGCTTCCTTTCATGTGTAAATTGAGAGGAGACTTGGAAAAACTAACTAACTAACTAACTAACTAACTAACTAACTAACTAACCTGTCTAAGGTCACACAGCCAGGTAATGGCAAAGCCAGGGCTGGAACCCAAGCTGACTCTAGAGCCCATCCTCTTAATCACTTAATAATCTATCTGAATCTCAGAAGATGGGGCTGTGGGAGTCTCCTCTTACTTGACTTCAAGCAGCCTTGATTCAGCGTGGAGCTCTGTGTCACTCTGGGCACGTCTATCCAAGGGGTGTTACAAAAGCACCTTCTATTTGAGGGTTTTAGGGATTGGAGTAACTCCTGGGGATCCCAGGCCCTGCTTATTTCCACTTTGGATGATAATTTTTTTTTAAAGATTTCAATTACTTATTTGAGAGAGAGACAGAGATTGAGACAGAGAGCATGAGTAGGGGAGGAGAGGGAGAAGCAGGCTCCCCACTGAGCAGGGAGCCTGATGTGGGGCTCGATCCCAGAACCCTGGGATCATGGCCTGAGCCGAAGGCAGACGCTTAACCAACTCAGCCACCCAGATGCCCCACCTTGGGTGATAATTGATAAGGCAGAGAGATTTTCTCCTTTACCTAACTTCTCTTGTTCAATTTTCCAGTAGCTGGTAACCTGTGGGAAAATGGGTGGGATAGAGGAAAAAAAAAAGTCCTAACTGTAATCCTAATCACACTGTGTCCTGGTGTTGTGTTGCCAATTGCAACCCCAGGGGATTAGAGATGGATGTTACATGCATCATGATTGAAAAACAAAAGCAAAACACAAGCAACCCTAAAGCAGTGTGCTGTTTGCCATGCAAGAAACAGAAGTGGAAATTTGTTCAAAGCTTAAGTCCATCTCCAGTTTCCCAACCTCCCTTTGACGGCCCCACCCCTCCAAGTCCTGTTTTGCCCTATTCCAAGACCTTCAGGGGCCTGGCCTGATGACTTCTACAAAAAACCCTCCTCTTTGAAAAGGATTTGAAATCTTGGGGAGAATTCAAAAGACATTATGTCTTCCGGAAGTTTTTTGTTTGTTTTTTTAGAGAGCGAGAGCACGACTGGGGCTAGGGGGACAGACAGAGGGAGAGGAAGAGGGAGAGAGGGAATCTCAAGCAGACTCCATGCCCAGTGAGGGGCTCGGCGAGGGGCTCGATCTCACAACCGTGAGATCATGACCTGAGCTGAAACCAAGAGTCTGATGCTTAACCGACTGTGCCATCCAGCTGCCCCACTTCCTCCAGTGTTTTTACATTTAAACTTCAACCCCAGTTGTGGCATGAAAGATTTGTTTCTTCTTTTTTTTTAAGATTTTATTTATTTGTCAGAGAGAGAGAGAGAGAGTACAAGCAGGGGGAGCGGCAGGCAGAGGGAGAAGCAGGCTCCCCACCGAGCAGGGAGCCCGATGTGGGACTCGATTCCAGGACCCTGGGATCATGACCTGAGCCGAAGGCGGATGCTCAACCAAATGAGCCATCCAGGTGTCCCAAAAGATTTGTTTCCTACTAAAGGGATTTCTGGCAGTAGCAAGCAGGTGGGGAGAGAATTTTCTAGTAGGGAATCCTCTGGGGTGTGCTTGTGGTTCATGCGCTAAGTGATTTAGTAATACCGACTATAGCACATTTATTGAGCACTTGTTCTGCGAGGCATTTGTGGCAAGAGCTTTCCGTGCATTGTCTCCTTGAACCTGGGAAAAAGGTTCCACCTTTATAGATTAAGCACTGGAGCCCCACAGATATTAAGCAATGTTCCCAGGGCCACGGAGCTAGTACGTGAGTGGAGCCGAGACTTGAATCCACTGTGGGTGGAAGATGGGCTAGCAACAGGCCCTTTGCAAGTCTGGCTTGGGACACTAAATGCTAAAAGAAGCCAGTATTCTGGTGTGCACCTGTTTCGTCCTGGGCGCAAGTTCTTGTTCTTCCAGACGGAAGCCCTAAGCCTTCCAAATCACACTCAGTGCCTCACCCTCCGTGTCACCATGGTCCTCACTCATGGCATTTATAGACACCCCTGACACCAGCCTCCACGTTGAGAACTTCCCTCCTTCAATCCTCACAATAATCCTGCCAGGAGGCACGGTCATTATACTCATTTTAAAGACAGAGAAACAGAGTCTCAGTCACAAGGTTACCCGGAGAAGTTAAGTTATAAGTTGACACGGAGGTAAGTAGCAGAGCTGGGATTCCAACCCTGGGCTGTGTGATTGCAGAGCGCTTGCTGAGCAGCCTCCATCTGCACCCCACCTCCTTACATTGTCCCCACGCCCACATCAAGCTCACCAGCCCCTTCTGGTGTCTCCTTGCATCTGTCCTTGCATAGTTCGAAGGGAGATGGCACGTTCCTCTGGCTCCTGGCTCTCTGGCTGCCTCGTGGCACTCGTGTTCCTCCGGCTGCCGGCGCCCTTGTCAGGTAGGAGTTGGTGAACCTCTTTCCCTGCCTGGGAAGTCGGCGGGACGAGTCCCAAGAACAAGAGGGCCTTATTTTTTGCGCGCATTCTGTTCTCCACCCCGCCCCCAGTCCTTTCCAATGCCCTCCCCAGGCCCTGCCCTTCGCCAAGACATCCCTTTCCTCCGCCGCCCAGCTCCTGTTCTCCCGTCCCTCCCAGACGCCCTTGTCCCTTTTCTGTCCACACCGCACAGGGGACGCCGACGACTACCACCTGGCCCCGCTAGGGGGCACAGCCCAGCTGCTCTGCCCGCTCGCCCTGTGGCCGGTCACCGTGCCCGCCGTGGTGACGTGGCTGCGGGCCCCGAGCCCGGACCGCTCCCAGGTCGTGCACGTGTTCCGGGACGGGAGAGACCGGGAGGAAGGCGTGATGCCGGAATACAAGGGGCGGACGGCGCTGCTGAGGGACCCCCGAGAGGGGAGCGTGTCCCTGGAGATCCGCCACGTCCGGCTGGAGGACCGAGGGCTGTACCAATGCGAGGTCCAGATCGGAAACCTGACTCGAAACGGCACCGTGACCCTGCAGGTGGCAGGTTAGTCATTTTCAAAGGGGGGACAGAGGTGCCCCCAAGACCTGAAGCAGTTACCCGAGAGGCGGATTTGTGAAGGTGTGAGGATGAAGCTAGAGACTCTCTCACCAGGTTGGGAGGAGCACGGGGGTGGGGAGAGGGCAGGCACGCGAGTGCCATGAACAGACCCGCCACCTCGGGGAGGCTGCGGGAAGGGGGACAGGGCTCCCGCGGGGACCTTGCCCCCACTGCCAGGCGTCTCTGCTCCCTGTCCCCCTCCAGTTCTAGGCTCGGACCCTTACATCCACGTGAAAGGCTACGACGCTGGATGGATTCAGCTGGTGTGCAGGTCGGCGGGATGGTTTCCACAGCCTTTGGCCGAGTGGAGAGACCCTCAAGGCAGGGTGCTTCGACCCCTGTCGGATGCCCAAGTCCTCGAAGCTGGGCTCTTCCGGATAGCGGTGTCCAGCAGAATCAGGGACAGCACGCTGGGGAATGTGTCCTGCACCGTCCACAATTTGGCCCTTGGCCAAGAGAAGACCACAGCCATGCTCATAGCAGGTAAAAGCCAGGGCAGTAAACGGGCTTGAAGCCCCTGGCAAAAACTCCTACCTTAATGGAAACTTTATAAAGAATTTTTAAATTCTAAAAGTAACACGTTTGTGGTAGAAAACTTGAAAAAATGATGAACATTTTAAAGAAACCAAAAATGGCCTATTATGTCATAAATTAGAACCTCTGCCTACCTTTTGGGGCATTTCTTTCAAGACATTCTAGTATGTCTGTATCTCTGAGTGTGCATGTGTTTGCATATATGTATTCTGCTGGGTCTTTTTCCCTTCAGTTACAACGTCATGGGCATTTTCTGCCCATGCCCTTAAGTAGTTTTCTGCAACATGATTTTTAAGGGCTACGCAGTACTTCGTTGTGTGGTTATAGCATAATAAAATTAATCAAAGCCCTATTTCTGGACATCTGGACGGTTTCCCATTTTTCCTCCTATTATAACAAATGGTGCAGTGAACATCTTTGCACATATTTTGGGAAGTGATACTGATTATTTTCTTAGAATGCATTTCTGGAATTAGAATTAAGAGGTTCAAGGGGTGTGAATCTTTTAAAGACCCTTGAAACACGGAGCCATGGGGCAGAGCAGCGTGGTTTTGGAGCCAAGAAAAACAGACTGTGGCCGGGGGTCCCAGATAAGATGGGGTCATGACTTCTGTGAATCCCTTCTTTTTTCTCTGTCTGTCCCCCTCCCTTCCCTTACTACAGCCACTGCCCTCTCACCAAGTGCTAAGTGCTTTTCTTGCCTGACCTCTTTAAATCTCCCAACAACCCAACAGGACAGGGATTATATCCTCTCTATTTTACAGATGGTCAACCAGGCTTGGGGAGGCTCAGTCTCTTGCCCAGGGTCACACACTGTTGAGTGAAGTCTCGCATCCAGCTGAGACTCTTCCCACTGGTCACAGAGCTTCTTCTGCTCTTTTTTTCCCCTTCTTTCCTTTCTCCTTTCTTCTTGCCCAGGCTTTAGGTCTGCTGCTGTAGCACCACAGAAATTGTTCTGCCCCTGCTGGTAGGGCTCAGGGCAAAGATGTCACTCACTGACTTGTTTCACAGCAGGGTGAGGACTTGATGGGGAGACAGGTGGGTGCTCATGAGAAGACTAGAGATGATCCCTGAGGAAGCCCCTCTTACCCTCCAAAGTCCCCAGGTAATGGCTCCATATAGGGCAGGACAAGGTTGTGGTTCAAAAGTGGAGTTTCACCCGTTGTCTTCAGGCAGGACCATCAAAACCACTCCTAAGAAATGAATATCTCACTTTAAAGTCATCCCTGGGTCATCCAGGGTTGGAGTTGCTGAGAGTAGCAAAGACCCCCACCAGTCTTGGCTGGAGGTCTCTCCCTAGACCCGGTAGAGACGGTTGGGATGTGCTTGAGCCATCTGCCATCTGAAGCAGGGTCCTTGGCATGGGAGAAGCTGTCGAATGTCTCTTTGAGGGTGGCCATTGGTGGTTTCTGTTTTAGCCCCGTCTCCAGGGAGGATCTCCTCCTCAGCAGTGGCTCTTGCTGTGATCCTGCCTGTCCTGGGGATTCTCATCATGGTGGGCATTTACCTCATCTGGAAGCAAAGAAGATCAAAAGGTAACTAATTGGTAAGGGAACCCCGGCTGGTCAGAAGTGGGACAGGCTTCTCTAGGAAATGGCCGGGAGGAAGTAGACGTGGACGTGAATTATCCATAGGTTGGAGACCCTGCAAAATGGCTGAGAGAGAACTAGTAGAGCCATGCTTGGGGATTCCCAATGCAGAGAGGGTCAGAGAAACTGCAGAAAACCCCTGGGCAGAGCTGTGAATCCTTATCTTTTGATAAATTAAAAAATAACTGATCATGCCAGCCTTCTAGTTAATTAAGAAACACAATTCTATCCATGAGATAAAACCCCATGAATACAGTTGAATTTCACAGGATCGCAGGGTTGCAAATGACCCTGAAAGTCACAGAATCCAATACTCCTTCCCCTATCTGCTGGTTTGAAGACCCTCTAATCCTTTCAAATAGTCGCACGCCCATAGTGACAAGGAGCAAAGTCCTACTCGGGCAGCTTGGGTCATCTTTGGACAACCCTGCCTGTTAGAAAAAGCCCTTCCTGAAACTGAGCTGCCATATCTCTGTCTGTCTTCTAGAGAAGCTTCTCTATGAACAGGTGATGGAGGTAGGTAAGTGTCCTGAGCTGGGTGGGGATGTTACTGTGTTTTGTTCGTTTTCTGCTCCCAGGGCCCACTAATCTAAATTGTGTACCTGAACAGCCCACTATCTGCTGTCCTCGCTGGCAGGGTCGTGGGGCATCTATACCTGTCTTTTCCAGTTTTCACAGACTCTTGTCAGAGCTTGCCTTCCAGTATGTTCGGTGATTTTTGTGTGTGAACTCACTGCTTGATCCTATTCTGTGGGAGTCTTGTAGATCTAACATGGGGGGAGCTTTTATTCATTCAACAAACAATTAGTAATTGTCTACTAAGTGCCCCAGACTATACTAGATGCTGGGTCACAATGGCGAGTAAAAGCAGACACAGTCTGTGCCTTCTTGGAGCTTTCAGTCTCGTCAGGGAAGCATACCTAAGTGAATTAATTACACAAATAAATGTGCACAAACGCCACGAGAGAAGTCCTAAGGGCCATAAAGGCCACAACCAGGAGGAACCAACCGACCAAACTTGAGGGACAGGAGCGGAGTCCCCCAAGAAGTGATGTTTGATCTGGAAGACAAGCAGGCTTGGAGGAAGAGGGAACAGAAAACCTTCCACAGCAGAAAGAACAATATGCAAAAGACACACAGTGCAGAAGTGAGGGGAAAGGTGACAGGGGATGAGGCTGTGGACTTAGCAGGGGTCAGGCCAGGGGAGGCCTTGTAGATCATGTGAAGGGTTTTGGTTTTTCTTCTCGGAGCAGTGGTAAAGCAGTGAACAGGGCAATCCTGACCAGAATTGTGCTTCAAGAAGCTCTTTCTGGCTGCAGTGTTGAGACGGGACCAGAGGGAAGAAGACAGGATGTGGGGGGCACCATTTCTGTCATCCAGATGAGAGATGGTGAGGGTCTGGGTCAGGGAGGTGGAGATGGGGAAGTTTAAGAGCGGGTTAACTCAATAGGAGTTGGGGACTCTCAAAGTAATGGCACAGAATCTCATTTACTTTTCTCCCTCTAGAAAATCTTCTCTCAGACCACGCAAAAGAAAAAGGTAATTATATGTATAGAATAAAGAGTAGGGAACAAATAACAAAGAACATATTCTTTCTACTTCTACATGAATGCCGACAGTCTATCATACATACATTACACACACACACACATCTTCCACTAATATTATTGGAATTTACTTTCCCATATTAAGGGGCCATAGGGTGGCCATAGGGAGGGGATGCCCTTGGTCAATATTCATAGGTCTGGATTGTCCTGAGCTCCCTTCATCAGCCTTTCCACCAATCACTTAAAAATACTATTTAAAAAGGTATAACACTCACAGGGACCAAAAAAATTTGGTCATATGGGGTGTATGAGCATCTCAAAAATCCATACAACTTTTGCATTGAGAGAGGCAGTATGATATGATGGGAGGATCACAGACTCTACAGAAAGCGACTGGATCAGTGACACCTGGCTCAGATCACCCGTCTGCCACTTACTGGCCTTGGACAAGGCACTTTACTGCTCTGAGCTTTGGTTTCCCCATCTGTAACATGGGGACAGTAAGTCCCTTCACCTGATTATTTTCAGGATTAAAATAGACAACTTAAAAACTTCTTATTACAAAGCCTGGTACCCCTTTCCCTTCCCATTTTTCATCTTCATTAATTGAGTATTTGCCCCGGGCCACTGTGAGTAAAAGTTAGACACACCCAGGGTACCAAAAAATGGGAGCTCTGCCCTTGGAAGGTCTTGCTGGGAAGACAAGTCCCTGGCTCAAAAATGGCTCCATCTGCACTGATTTCCGCATCTCCTCTCCTCCAGGGTGGTGAAAGTGTGGGCGTGCACACCTCAGGGACGCTATGGCTATTCTGTCCAAGGGCAGAAGGCACAGTGTGGTGTAGTGGGGCCGTCCTCTGACTGGGAGGCAGACAGACGTGGGCTGGAATCCAGCCTCCCTGGCCACTTATTAGCTGGATGACCTGGGCAAATCTCCATGTCCCTCTGAGCCTCAGCCCACCACTCTAGAAAATGAGGATACTAATTATAGGCACCTCACATTGTTGAGGGGATTCGGTGCCCACCTCATTATAAGAACAGGACACAACAGGGCGCCTGGGTGGCTCAGTTGGTTAAGCGACTGCCTTCAGCTCAGGTCATGATCCTGGAGTCCCGGGCTCGAGTCCCACATCGGGCTCCTGCTCAGCAGGGAGTCTGCTTCTCCCTCTGACCCTCTTCCCTCTCGTGCTCTCTATCTCTCATTCTCTCTCTCTCAAAAAAAAAAAAAAAAGAACAGGACACAACAAATGGAGGCTATTAATAACGGGAATCATAAAAATAAACCATAAGTTCCTTAAGGACCATATCATATTCGGTTTCACTGCCCGAGCATGCAATGCCTAACACATGCCCAACCCTTAGCACAGGGCATGGCTGTGGACTCAGATGTATAACTTTAATTCTCTGGCAGAGCCAGCGCTAGGAGAAAATGTGGGCTGATGGCCTTTCTGGAAAAGCCACAAGTACAGTACTCCCCAGAAGCCTACAGCTTATGTCCCCGAACCTGGGATCTCCAAAGGTATCAGTCGGTCTGCAAGACTTCAGCAGAGTCACTGTCGAGAATAATAGAGCCATGTCCACGAGCTGATGCTAGGCCTTCAGCTAGGCTTACAGCATAGCTATTACTAACAGTAGGTTATTAAAGGGCAGCAAGACAAACATGCATGAGCACACAGTTAGAAACACACAGAAACACACACAGGGACCACAGAAAAGGAGCCAGACAGAAAGGGAGGGCCGAGAAAGGAGAACCCAAAGTTCCAGGCAACCCAGGTCATCAGGAAAGTGGCACCAGCACCACCAAGTTCTCCAGTCCAAACTTTGAGAGATATGACTGGTTTCGGGGTCCGCAGGCTGGTCATCGCCCTTTCCACCAGGGGGGATGGAGTGATGAGCCTTCCTGTGTCCTGTCTATTCACTCGTGCCTTTTTCTGTTTTGTGTTTTTTTTTTTTTTAGGAAGGCTCCATAAAGCCCTCAGTAAGTTCCACTCCTCATCCGTGGCACAAACCTCCTTCTGCTGATGTCTTTGCTTTAGGATGAGTGTCTCGGTTTTACTTCTTGCAGCAGAAGAGGGCGGCAAGGGTACTTGAGGTCATGGGGGTTGGAGATGTACTGGCTCTCAAAGTCCTCCCTTCTCAAATATTCCCTGTTCCTCTTTCCCATAGAGCTGTTATCTGGAAAGGCCTGACCAGGAAGCCCTCACCTCCCATAGGTGAAGCCACCTGGGAGACCCTGTATATTCCCTAGGTGTGACATTCCCTTAGGAGGGATCCAAAGCATATGGATCCTCATTAAAGTGAATATGTGGAGCAGTGTTTCTCCACCACTTCACGTATGAGAACCTCTTGATAACCAAAAAAATCTTCAGACATGGGATGACATGTCTATTTTATTTTACATTGAGAAAATATACCTAAGGAAATCAAATGGAAATTGGGTGATTGTTTTAAATGAACTTATACTTTATTCTTCTCCCGCAACATCCTACAAATGTTTACATTGTCATGACCTATATGCAGAAGATGTGTCATTGACTCGGTCTGCTGGGACATTCTGGTGGACACAGGAATTGTTTGACCCTCTGCCGTGTCACCAGAGAGCCCTGGCCCATGGCTGGGAGCCACTGCTGTTGCAAGCCCCATCGTGGGGAAGCTCAGTGTATTGCTACTGAGGATTCGATGTGGGAATGTGGTTGGGATGGGACTGCAGTGCTCTAGGCACATAGAAGCCCTTGTTTTGATTGGTCCAACTGTTTTCATTCTTTAGAGAAACTCCGGAGTGAACTGAGTAAGTGTCCCATGCTCTTCTAACTCCCGTACCACCTGATCTCCTGTTGGGTCTGTATTTCCAGCAATAGCTCACCCCCTTCTTTCTTCTTGTATAGAGTTGAAAAGAGCTGCGGCAAACTCAGGTGAGGTACACCTTTCCCACACTTGGCCCCCATGCCCCAGGAGTTCTCCGTTTTTCTATCTGTAATTCAAGCATCCTCTTTATGTCTTTCAGGCTGGAGGAGGGCGAGGCTGCACTTTGGTAAGTTATACCAGTCAGGTCATCCACAAGTCAGAGCCCATAGCTCTGGTCCTGTGGAATGCAGACTGTCATTTAAAGCTTTTTAAAATCAAATCTGTTTATCTGCTTATCAAATTAAAAAAAGTCTTTGTGGTTTTTGGGGTCACATTTAGATTTAGAAAGCTCCCCTCTTATAGAACACTGATAAATATACATGTTGATCTTCTTTTATTTATTTATTTATTTATTTTATTTTATTTTAAGATTTTATTTATTTATTTGAGAGAGAGAGAATGAGAGATAGCACGAGAGGGAAGAGGGTCAGAGGGAGAAGCAGACTCCCTGCTGAGCAGGGAGCCTGATGTGTGACTCGATTCCGGGACTCCAGGATCATGGCCTGAGCTGAAGGCAGTCGCCCAACCAACTGAGCCACCCAGGCGCCCAACATGTTGATCTTCTTATGGGTTCTCTATGATTTTTGAGATTTATCTTAAGTTTATTGGTTATTTGTACATCATCTTTGTGACTTGCCTGCTCCTGTCCTGTCCTGGGTACTTTTTGATTTGTAAGGATTCTTTCTATATAAAGTATACTAGTTCTTTTCATATTTTTCACAACTTATTTGTCCAAGTTTTTTCATTTTCATTTTACTTTCCTTATGGTATTTTTTTGATGCATGAGTGTTTTGTTTTTATGTAGTCAAGTTTATTCGTCTTTTCCTGTGTAGTCTCTTCCATGCTTTCAAGTTTGGGAAGTCCTTCCTAATCCACAATTGGACCAATACCCAGTGCTCGTATTTCTGTCTACACACTTGCCACATCCTTCTTCAAAAATCAGTTTTCTTGGGGGGTTGTTGTCTGAGATTCTCAGAGAAGAGAATGGGTGAGGCCCATGCTCCCACAGTGCAGACTACAAAAACTTTCGTAGTTTTATTCTAAAAGATTTGCACATCTCTTTTCATTTTATTCCTAAGTAGTGGGCAGTTTTTTTGCTGTTATTTTAATGAGAACTGTTATTTTCACTGCTTTGCTTATCAATTTTCTGGCTGCTCATCCCCCTTCTGTTCACATGGCTTCCTTCAGGCAGGTACAATAGAAGTGATGAGTTGGCACTTGAGAGAACACCAGATCACCAACCAAGGTGCTCAGAAACCCTTCTGACACTCACAGTCTGGCTCACTCCCACCACCTGACTGAGTACAGATTTCACGGGTTCACTCTCCAAGAAGAGCCTGTGTTCTGTCCGTGGGGAAGGGGGGAGACTCACTGTGACCCTCGTAATCCACAATTTTAAAGAAGAATCCTTCTCTCTATATTACCATTTAGAAATGATAATTATAAGCAGTGATTTTAACTACCAAGCATCACACACTCACTGTGTGAACTAGGCACCATCTCCTATATTAGCTCATCAAATTTGTACAAATTTATACACATTTTTTAAAAGATTTTATTTATTTATTTGAGAGAGAGAGAGAATGAGAGAGAGAAAGCACGAGAGGAAAGAGGGTCAGAGGGAGAAGCAGACTCCCTGCTGAGCAGGAAGCCCGATGTGGGACTCGATCCCGGGACTCCAGGATGATGACCTGAGCCGAAGGCAGTCGCTTAACCAACTGAGCCACCCAGGTGCCCCAAAATTTATACACATTTGTACAAATGGGAACCCCTACTCCCATTTTACAGAGGAAGGAACTGAAGTTGGGAGATAAATAACAAGCCCAAGGCCACAAAACCAGCAAGTGGCAGAGCTGGGACTCACACATCCTAGCTGGCTCCTGGGCCTAACATCAAAGCCTATGTTTATTATCATACATTAGATTCCCTGGGACCATTGAAGACAAAGTCAGTGTTTCCTAAGGATTAAGGCAGCTTCACAGACAGATGAAATACATTTTCCTCTTTCAACTTAATACACTGCCAGCAGATCTAGGAGACCGGAAGACAGTTTCTCTTTGGCTCCTGAACATATAGGGGAGGGGGAACCATGAGATCAAATAGGCCAATGACAGTGGTCACAGACCTAGAGATTATCTTTCTCTCCAAAGCTACCCAAAAATCCCCTAAGACCTTGCCTTTCCCAGCCTCACCTGTCAGTGACTCTCTGCAGTGGCAGTGACCCTGGACCCAGACACAGCACATCCCAAACTCATCCTGTCTGAGGACCGGCGATGTGTGAAGCTTGGAGACAGAAGACAGCCTGTACCCGATGGCCCCCAGAGATTTGACTTTGTCGTCAGCGTCCTGGGCGCTGAGTACTTCACGATGGGCTGTCATTACTGGGAGGTGGATGTGGGAAACAAGACCAAATGGGCCCTAGGAGTGTGTAGTGAGTCCGTGAGCAGGAAGGGGAAGGTCACTGCCACGCCCGCCAATGGACACTGGCTTGTCCGCCAGAGTAGCGAGCAGGAGTATGAAGCTCTCACATCCCCGCAGACCACCCTGCGCCTCAAGGAGCCCCCATGGTGCGTGGGGATTTTCCTGGACTATGAAGCAGGCGTCATTTCCTTCTACAATGTGACCAGCAGATCCCACATCTTTACTTTCACCCACACTTTCTCTGGCCCCCTTCGCCCTTTCTTTGAGCCTTGCCTTCATGATGGAGGGAAAAATACAGCACCTCTAGTCATCTGCTCGGAACTCCAGAAATCAGAGCCACCAACTGGCCGCAAGTCAGAAGAAAAAGGCCATGCAAATGGAGACGTGGCCATGAATGTGGACCCTTCCTTACTCCCTCCTCAGGCACCGGAGCTTTTCCCACCTGGGGATATGATCCTGCCCTGGCCCACTGACCTTGCCCCAGCCCTACAGGGGCTCAAGGTTCCTTCTTTTTAGGGCTGTACCTCATTACCTGCTCCCCTGATGGTCCAGGACCCTGCCCTGGATTTCAGTCTGTTGGCCCAACACCTGATTCTGAAACATCCCATTGTCTTTCCCCAGTTCTAGACCTTGTGATTTTGATTCAAACCACCTTTCACTCAGGGCTCAGTTCTAAACTCTGTCATCCTTCTGGGGACTTAAAACTCCCACTGCTCTGGAAGAATTCCTGAAAACCAAATGAAGGTTTGGTGATGATTAGGTTTAGGTGATGATGGTGAATGTGTGTCATCAAGATACAGGGGTTCTCTACTCGAGGAGCTATTTAGAGGAACTTCACCCTGCCTCATCCTGCCCTTGACCATTTAGTCATGAAGTTACGGTGCCCAGTCCCTGACTTTTCTCTTGTCCCCTCCAGAATGGCCTTTTCTCCTTCTCTCAGTGCAGACCAAAGCCAGCTTTTTAAAAGTAAACATGTTTTGGGTCACACGCTCTTCCTTCTTTCTTCTGGAATATGGGGTGGGGAAGCTGGAAGGGTAAGACACGCCATCCCTTTCTGTTTCCTTGATGCTTGTTTACAGTATAGTTTCCTGACATCCAGAGCTAATGTACACATTTTCAAAGCTAACTTACCTATTGATGCTAACCAGGTGCAGGGATTTTAAATGTGGTAGCCATAATCCTGAAAAGCCTCAAGAGCACAATCAGGGAGCTGGGAGGCACAGTTTCAAACACAGCAGCCCAGCTGTGTGTGGCCTTGAAAAGACAGCCATGGATGAGTCTCTCTGTTACCCTGGCCTTTTCGAATTTCCTCCTGGGATTTGGAGAAGTCCAGCTAGAAAAGTGGCAGTTTTAACCACCAATGTAGAGGCCTTTTTCCCCCTAAGACCATTATCCTAGAAGACGTGACTAGTTGTCTAGCAAACAGCCTCTTAGGTGAGAGTATTGATTTCAAATAGGAAGTTGGTAGCTCCTGTGTGAGGTTAAAATAATGAACCTCATTTTTTGGCGTGGATTGCGGAAAGAAGCCTACTCACTTTCAAGTCATTCCACATATGTGATCTGGCCTCTTTGTGGAAATACTGGCTGATCTCAGTTTGCAGATGAGTACACAGTTCTACCCAAAAGAAACTGGATCTTTCTGTCAGAAGTTCTCTCTGTTAGTGCTTGTAATAGTTAGGATCCTCCAGGGCAATATATATTTGTTATATTTATATGTATAAAGAGATTTATTATAAGGAATTGGCTCGCATGATTATGGAGGCTGGCACGTCCCTAGATCCGCGGGGTTAGTCAGCAAGCTGGAGACGCAGGGGAACCAGTGGCGTAATTCCAGTTTGAAGGTTGACAAGCTTGAGACCCAGGAAGAATCAGTATTTCCATACGAGCCTGAAGGTAGGGAAAAAAGTCGATGTCCCAGGCTAAAGACCGTCAGGCAGGAAGAATTCTCTCATACTAGGGGGAGGGTTGCTTTTTGGTTCTATTCAGGCCTTCAACTGATTGGATGGGGCCCACCCACATTAGGGAGAGCAATCTGCTTTACTCATTCTACCAATTTAAATGTTAATCTCATCCAAAAACACCCTTCACAGAAACAGTCAGAATAATGTTTAACTAAATGTCTGGGCACTCTGTAGCCTGGTCAAGTTGATATCTAAATGTAATTATCACAATGCATGGGTGAAATTTTTGGTTTGCTTTTGTACAGTTCTTAAATAAAATTTGATATTTGTTGTTCGGCATGATGTTATTTTCATCATGAATGAGAAGTTGTGGGGAAGGGCTTTACACTGGTAATAGGAAAACACCTTATGGGATTGGTTTTTGAACAGCCTTGAATCCACCCAAGCAAGCTTTAACCACAGTTAGAAATAAAGCCACAGTTTTATTTCTGATCTGCCTTCTCAGTATTCTATTTATATCAATTTATAAGCAATAGTGTATGTGGGGGATTTATATTTTACTCATTCATACTCAGTTTCAAACATACTTTCCAGAATATCTTAATCTTAAAAACGGATTCCCATTGTTCACACTAGCTGCATGCAAGAGACTTTACCAGCAGGAAAGAGAACTGATATTTGCGGAAGCAGAAGCTTTACCTCATTTAATCCTTAAAACAATTCTGCTAGGGATTTTATGGGGGAGGGAAATGGTGCTCCAAATGTTTGGGCGGTAGAACTGGGATTATAAATCTAGTTTATCTAGCTCTGAAGACAATATTCTTCGCTCTTTGCGCTGAAATACCGTGCAGATATGAGAATATTCTATTAGACTTTTTTTTTTATTAACTAAAACTTGGGGAAAAAAACCCTTCACCCTGGATATACCTTAAAAGTCTTATTGGCCGGCTTGATGAATGGCAGTCAGCTTTATCCAGGTAGGACGCAGAAAAATCCCTGTGCAGAAGCGTTGGGGAACCCAGAGGCAGCGCCTCATACGGGGAACGTTTAGTTTCTCTGACAAACGGATTGGGTTAGTTGATCTTTAATCTCCCTTCTAGTTCTACAATCTTTTGACTTTTAATTATAAACCTCAAGTAAAGCGCGCGACTCAAGGCTTCACGGGATGTCTACAGGATCGTCAAGGGCCACCTACTCAAAGTAAAGAAGAAACTTGAGTTCATGATCCCTTGGGGGTCATGCACGTTAGCTCTGCGTATTCTACTGCTGGCCAGACCAGTGGCCCCGCACCTTGGGCTTTTAACGCGTGAACGTAGAAGGAAATCCGAGCACCTTGGAAGGGAACTCAGTCTTGGCTACTCAGTTCTAAACTTCGCAAATTCCTTCTCCGACGCTACGCTCCTCCTCAGGACTACAACTCCCAGCAGGCCTTGCCCAAGGCCAAAGCTTATTGGCGGCTCCGCCTGGGTTTCTTGCGTTGTGGCAGCCAATATAGCCGGTGGGAAGGAAGGATCCTCCTCAGGACCCAATCCTGGAGAGGTAGGGCGGGTCCCTCCTGGGTTCCGGCTCCGGCTCCTCCCCCGGCCCACCGAGGCGGCGCTGTCCCTGACGGAGCGGCGGGAGCGAGGTGGGTCCGGGTTGGGCCCGAGGTCGCGGGGGGAGGTGGAGACGGCTTCGCGGGGAACTCTGAACGTGGCCCCCTCCCTCCCTCCGGGGAGTTAGAGGCTGTGGCTTTGCTCCCTGGATCCGGTGGGGAGCAAATGGGACCCAGTGGTCCCCTCGCCCCGACCCCCGGCCCTGGTCCCCGCCCCTGGCCCGCGCGGCCAGGAGGCTGCCCTATCCCCTCCCCGCAGGCCCTCCGGTTGGCCTTTCAGTCCGGGTCCCCCCCACCCCCGGCACCGACCATACTTTGGGGGCCAGCCCCTCCCCCTCTCTCATCGCTCCCTCCCAAGCCATCCGGCTACTCAAAACCCAGACCTATGCTCTAGGACGCGCGTATCCTAGACTCCGCCGTTGGCTTCTCCGCGCTACTCACAACCCAGCCTCTTGGGCCGCGGTCCCCTGACACCTCTGATTGCAGCCCGCGCCTCCTCTCCCCTGCCCGCCTCCTCTCCCCTGCCAACCTCCTCTCCCCTGCCCACCTCCTCCGGACCCTCTGACCTCTTTCGTCCCCTCTGTCCGACCCGTTATGCAGCTGCCCGGTGCAGTCCCCTGTTCTTCGACACCTTGTCCCTGGTCCTTCTAAGCTCCTCTCTCTGCATCATCCGCCACCCCCTACCCCTTGACTTGACCCTAAAGACCCCGAACTTTGGCCCTTCAGACCACTTTCCAGCTTGGCCCCTTCACTCTAACCCAGGCCTTGGACCTTCAGCATCTGTGATCACCAGCCCTGTCTTCTTGGCTTTTACTTCTTAGCCCTGGCCGCTTTTCCACTGCCCCAATCCCTTCCACCCTTGGTCCTCCCGGTACCTCTGAGCCTCCTGGGAAAGCAAGCCCAGTGGGCCCTTCTCTCTCCAAATCTTTGAAATGTGACATGAAAGTGCTTCTGTACTTTACCTGCCACTGTGTTCTCAGTAGATAGCGGGCTCCCCATCTCTGCAAGTCCCAATCTTGCTCACCCATCCTGCAAAGTTCTAACTCAGATACCGCCTTATCCATGCAGCTGCGCATCCCTGATCTCTTCAGGGAGACACGCCTGTGTCATTTGAACTCGCCTGGCTGGCACTGTTCTAATTCCTTCCTCCTTCCCTTCACCGCCACACCCCCCCACCCCCCAGTCTCCTATCTCCCTTCCCCGCTCCCTCCCTGTCTTCCTCCCTCTTCTGTCCTTTACTAGTGTCATGCTTAAAAGCACTGGCTTTGGAGTGATGGGCATAGGTCCCAGTTCTGCCACTCACTTGCTGTGTGCCCTGGGGCAAGTTACGATTTCTCTGAGCCTCAGTTTCCTCATCTCTAAAATAAGTTGTGAAAATGAAATGACATGATTTGCATATAGTGTTCAGTCCAGGGCCTAGCACTTAGTATGAGCTTCAAAAATGTTTATTATTATTGGTTCCTGTGTAATATGCCAGGTGCTGTGCGAGGCATTGAGGAGTGGATACAAAGGTGACTAAGGCACGGTTCCTGACCCCGCAGAACTGAACCTTCTACCCTGTATGCCAGTTTCTGGAGTTCATGGCCTATTTCCCTGCACAGTGCCATAAACTGAGGGTAATAATCATAATCCTAAATCTTTTTGCTCTTATTTTGATCCAGCATTTGGTCCTGAGTAGACTCAGAGCCTGGTAGATTGCAGGCTCTTAGAATAACAGGATTGGATGTGAGAGGGGGCCAGGTAGCCCCCTGCATAGAGAGAGGTACTGGAGCCCTAGGTGGGGTGGGCAGGGCTGGGGACTGAATTCAGATCATACCCATTGACTCATACATTCAGAAAACATTTAAGCAGTGCCTCGTGCTGGGGAGAGATTGCCAAAATGACCCAGTCTCTGCCCTCAAATTGCTTATTAACTGCTAGTGGAAACAGATATGTGAAAAGATCACTGCAAATCACTGTAAAAGCAAGTACGTACAAGATTCTGTGGGTGCCTAAAGGTGGAAGACTAGGCAGATTCCTGAGGAACAGTGGGTGAGACAGCCACAAATAAGCATGAAGTGGGTTCTGGAGACAGGCCGGCCCTTCACTCAGCTCATTCAACGAATATTTACTAAAGATCTGCTATAAATGACTGTCACTACTTGAGGGATTTGGGTTACATTAGAAAACAAAGACCCTGTCCCTCATGGGACTTATGTTTTAGCAGGGGGAGGCAGACACTAAATAAGAGACATAAGAAATAAATAGAATGTTAGCAGGTGAGGAGTGCGCCGTGGGGCAGGAGGGCTGGGAGTGTGAGCATGGGGTTGTGATTTGTAAAAGGGTTGTCAGGAAACAGTAAGTATCAAGGAATAAATTGTTTCTGATGTTTACTTGCATTTTTTGAAAGTGAAGCAAGCCTCCTTCATGTCTCTTACCTAGATTCTTCAAGAAACACTCTCTAACAGGGATTGGTAAACTGTAGTTCACCTCCCTTTGTTTTAAATAAAGTTTTATTGGAACACAGCCACACTCATTCCTTTATGTATTGTCTGTGGCTGCTTTTATGATAAGAGGGCAGAGCTGAGTGGTTGCAACAGAGATCCCGTGGTCCCAGATATTCACTAAATATTTACTGCCTGGCCCTTTCCAGAAAAATTTGCTGGCCTCCACTCAAAGATTTGCGGCTCTGTCAGTATTTCACGTTTTAGGTGATACAGAGCCTCATACCATTTTTTTTTTTTCTTGTACAAAATTTTTTTTCTTTCCTAACAAGATCACGTAAGGGATCTTTTTCATTCTTGTAATCTGTGCGGGGCTAGGATATAGCGTCCTCCAGAGTGGTCATAGCAGCTGTCATTTGCTGCATTACTCGTACGCACCACAAGCACCCTGAGCACACTGGGGGCATCTTCTCCGCCACAGGGTCCTGCAGTATAGACGGGCATCGCGGTGTTAGCAATGTGGGAGTCGAGGCTCAGAAGGCTTGAACGATTTGCACAGTTCTGTAGCGTGTGTCGCTGTTGGGATCCAGCCCGAAGTGTAGTCAGTGCCCCTTCCGTGACTGCTCTTGTGTGTTCCGGAAATACTTGCTGACCTGAAGGAATTCTGTCATGTTCTCCCCTCGCTGGCCTGTCACAGCCTATGCTTCTGCCCCTCGTCTCTTGTTCGTGTCACTGCACAGCATCTGCATTGTGCCCACCGGGCCTTCCCTGCCATTATTGCCTCAGGGCCCAGAGGAAACACCACCTACACTGGCCCGGAAGTACTTCATCCCCTTGTTGCCTGTCCCGGGCTGTAGGAGATCAGAGTCTGTGTCGCCCAGCAAGCATTTATTGATGTTTGCCTAAGTTGGCAGTGTGTACGTGTAGCTGTGAGTGGGGGAGAGAATGTGGTTTGTGTCTGCGAGTCTTTGTAGGTGGCATGTGAGTGTGTGTGTGTATGTGTGTGATTTTGTGTGGGGTACGGATATAGCTGTATGTGATTGTGTAGCCACATACATGGCTAAATGTTTGGAAGGGCTGTGTGTGTATATGTGATGTGTGTGACTGTTTCTATAAGTGTATGTGAGTGTGTGGTGTGTGTGTGTATGTGTCCGTGTGTGGCTGTGTATGTGTGACTATGGTATGAGTGTATGGTGTGAGCATATGGTTGAGTGTGGCTGGTATGTGAGAACGGCTGTGTGAGTGTGTGTGTGTGTGTGTGTGTGTGACGTGGTGTGCATGTGGCTGTGCATGGTGTTGGAGAGTGGAAGTGGATATTGACCAATCAGCAGACATAGCCCAGTCCCTGCAGTGGGTCGTGGAGGGCCCCGATGTTAGGCCTAGTTGCTAGGCTAGGCTGCGGTCTGGGGAAGGGAAGGGTGGCGGAACATTTAAGAGAATTTAAACAACTGGGAGAGCCTCAAGAATGAGAGGTTCTGTTCATTTTGAAAGCAGGCAAATGGATACTTTTAAGGAAAGTTTTTCAAAAAAGATTAAACATAAAAGGAGTTTCAGTTAGCTTAGAGTTAGGCAGAGAAATGGAATCGTCCCCAACTGGAAGCTCCTTTAGCTGCACACGAATTCGAATCTAGACTGTCATTGTTTAGTGGTATGAAGAAAAGTGCCATTATTCACACTGCACAACTATCTGTTGGGAGGGGACCAAAGTGATGCCTTCTTTTTACTCTGATGGGTAGCTTTAAATATCTGTGGAAGGGGTACCTGGGTGGCTGAGTCGGTTAAGCGACTGCCTTCGGCTCAGGTCATCATCCTGGAGTCCCGGGATCGAGTCCCGCATCGGGCTCCCTGCTCAGCAGGGAGTCTGCTTCTCCCTCTGACCCTCTTCCCTCTCGTGCTCTCTATCTCTCATTATCTCTCAAATAAATAAATAAAATCTTTAAAAATAAATAAATAAATAAATAAATAAATATCTGTGGAAGTTTGTCACTTGAGAGTTATTAAGTAAAGGCATTCTCTCCAAGTATTCCCGTTAATTGAGGTTATTTCTGATGGATGGTTCCATGGGGAAGGGGTACACCCCTTCAGCCAGAACAAAGTTTCCCTGTGGTGGAGCCGGACCCCAGGAATAAAGGTGTTGGCCATTTGTGTTCATTCTCAGGGTTCAGAAATGGGCAGTGAGAAGGAGCAGAATCCGGAACAGCACCTGCCTGAGGAAGGGGAATGGGGTAAGCCGTGGAGAGTGGATGACTCAGAGGGTTTTCGGATCCCAGACGGGGAGAAAGAGCACGGGCAGGAGAGCCCGTCGGAGGGTCCGCAAGAGATTCATCCCAAAAAGCCGTGGCAGAAAGTCACTGTCCCTACGGGAGAGCCCGGGGACCCCACGGCTCACCCGAGGCCTGAGACCGACGAGAAGCCCTTCATATGTGCCCAGTGTGGGAAAACCTTCAATAATACCTCCAACCTGAGAACACACCAGCGCATCCACACCGGCGAGAAGCCTTACAAGTGTTCCGAATGTGGCAAGAGCTTCTCGAGGAGCTCCAACCGCATCCGGCACGAGCGGATCCACCTGGAAGAGAAGCACTACAAATGTCCCAAGTGTCAGGAGAGCTTCCGGCGGCGCTCGGACCTCACCACGCACCAGCAAGACCACCTGGGCCAGCGCCCGTACCGCTGTGACATCTGTGGCAAGAGCTTCAGCCAGAGCGCCACGCTGGCAGTGCACCATCGGACCCACTTGGAGCCAGCGCCCTACATCTGCTGCGAGTGCGGGAAGAGCTTCAGCAACAGCTCCAGCTTTGGCGTGCACCACCGCACGCACACAGGCGAGAGGCCCTATGAGTGCGCCGAGTGTGGGCGGACCTTCAGCGACATCTCCAACTTTGGAGCACACCAGAGGACCCACAGAGGGGAGAAGCCCTACTGGTGCACTCTGTGCGGGAAACACTTCTCCCGGAGCTCAAACCTCATCCGCCACCAGAAAACACACATGGGAGAGCAGGCTGGGAAAGACTCCAGCTGAAGGACCATGAGGGAGAGAGGCGGAGAGACCCCAGCCTCATGTAGGAAGATCTCTAGGATCTGCTGCTGCCCCCTTGACCTCAAGCCCTTCATCCCACTTTGGAGAATGGTTTCCTGTTGCCTCTGAAGCCAGGATCTCCGGCAAGTCCTGAGAAGGGACTCTTGAGTAAGAATCCTTGCTGCTTTCCGGGCCAATTTCTTGCCTTGGAAAGTTTGGACGATCCGGTCTTGGCTTCATCTCCTTGGGAGGAAAGAGAAGTAGGGTAGGCTTAGCACATGCTCGTGTCATTAGGGCAACCATCCCCTGGCCTTTGAGGAAGTACCTATGAGGTGGGCATCACTGTCTGAAGGTCCTCCAAATCGTAGATGAACTGCTTAGGGCATATTGTGGTGGCTGTCAGTTCACATCTGCTGTGCCCCACCTGCGCTGGGAGGAGCTGCCTTCCCAATGGAAGGGGCCTCCTCAGCCTGGAGAAGAGGTCTGGTCCTGCCTTAGGAACGAAAGGGAAGCCCTCAGGGAGCCACGATCCAGGGATCTTTACAGTCCCCCATGTTTGTGACTTGTTCCCCCACCCTAACCTGCATCTGTGATTAGCAGTAAAACCCTTCAATGAAAAGGACCTGTGTACTTATTTGGGGCATCAAGGAAGTGGGAGCTGGGGAGCTGGTTGCACTGCAGCCTCCCTGCAAGGGGGCTGGATCCCAGGAAGAATGGGTGGCTGCTCTGAAAAGCAGAGGAAAGCAGGCTGAGTTTCTGGGGCCTTTGAGGAGGAAGACAAGAGGAAAGAAGTAACAGTGAGCATCCACATCTGCTGTAGAGGCTACAGGTCACATTTACATCCTTGTCTCCTTGAGCTGGCACAGCAGCCCTCAAGGGAATAAGATGAGGACACAAGTGAGGAGATGTGAAGTCACACAGCAGGGCTTTGGTGGAGCCAGAGTTCACACTTGGGCCTCCCTTGATTCTGAGCTGATGCCCTTTCCATTGCTTGCACCTAGTGGCTTCAGGAGGAGCCACTTCGGGGGGCTGGCCTGGGACCAAGTGAGTCCCTGGAAGTGGGAGCTAGGATGGCTTCTTGATGTGGCCCCGGACCATTCGCTCTGTGGGAAGTCAGTGCCAAGTCTGAGAACCTTTTCTCCTTTAGATTCTTGATTGGTACTTCCTTGTGCTTAGGAAGAATGATAGTGTTGGGGAGCAGGGGGTGAGGGCTGGGATGAACCCACAATGGCAGTCTTTGCCTTTAGTGGCAATAGTTTAGTTCCCAAGGCTGGGACAGCTTGGCAGGGGTCCTCCCAGCTTCGTGCTCTCCTGGTTTAGGCCTGGCTCCACATGGCGGATTTCAGTGTTTTCTGCATGGCAGTTTAATGTTCACCCAGATTTCCTCCAACAAATACAGAAGATCCCTCTCTACATCTTTTGCCAATCAGGTCCTGCTCTTCCAGAGTGAAGGGACTTCTCCATTGTAGCTAATTGCCAGAATATGATTCTGACACCACCCATAACCTGACCTATCACATGGGATCCTGCCACCCACCCAGGAAGGGATGTACTAGGAGCTTTATACTCATCATGTTGAATTCTCACGTAACCCTGGGAAGTAAGAATCACCCACATATGACAGTTGGAGAAACAGGCAGACAGAAAGTGACTTACTCGAGATTACTTGGCAAGTAAATGGCAGGGTCAGGAACTGAACCTACTTCTGCCTAAATCCAAGGCCTGTATTTTTTCCAACTATAAAAGACTTCCCAAACAATTCCCTGACATATGTAGGACAGTACAGTTTACAAAGTACTTTTTAAAAAAGCTTTTATTTTAATGACCCAGTGCTCATCACGACAAGTGCACTCCTTAATCCCCTTAACCTGTTCCATCCATTCCGCCCCCCCCCTTCCCCTCTGGTAACCAGTTCTCTATAGTTAAGAGTCTGTTTCTTGCTTTGTCTCTCTTTTCTTTCCCCTTTGCTCATTTGTTTTGTTTCTGAAATTCCACATATGAGTGAAATCATTATGGTATTTGTCTTTCTCCAACTGACTTATTTCACTTAGCATTATATCTCTAGCTCCATCCATGTTGTTGCGTATGGCAAGATTTCATTCTTTTTTATGACTGAATAATATTCCGTTGTTTGTACACCACATCTTTATCCATTCATCAGTTGATGGACATGTGGGCTGTTTCCATAATTTGGCTGTTGTAAATAATGCTGCTATAAACGGGTGCATGTATCCCTTTGAATTAATGTTTTTGTATTCTACAAAGCACTTTTATTGCATATACATTTTCCTGCTCCTTGAAAATCTGCATACAAGATATTTTAAACATATAGTCATCCAAACTTGCATGTATGAATTGGCACACTCCCTAATAGTTAAAGTTGCCATCAAACACCACTGAGCACCATTTCTCATGCATCTATTGTCTCTGATCTCCATAACTATCCTGTAAGGTGGTAGTATCCCCATTTTTGAGATAAAACAAATCTGAAAGTTTAAATGACCTGACCTAATGGCTAAGCTGTGATCCAAATCAGGTATGTGGGATTCCGAGGCCATGCTCTTCATTATATCCACTAACAAGTTAGGTCTACTGGTCCCCTGTCTGGGGAGCTTGATATCATCCTTCCAGACCTAGAGCCTTAGTGACAATTGCTGTGACTTTCTGGGAGTCTCAGCTGCCAGTAAGACCCAGGACCAATGTACTGGGCATTTGCTTTGATCTTGGGACATGACTTGCTGGCCAATCTCATTTGCCCCTTTTTGACCAAGTTCATAGGCTAGGGTTTCTGTGTTGGTTCAGACCTGTGAGTCCTGACTAGTCCACTTATTCACTCTCTGACCTCCTTTTTTGTTAACTTCCCTAATTTCCTCTTTCATTCTCTTCATTTTCTGAGTGTAGGAGATTGGCACATAAACCCAGAGTTACAGTGCAGGATGATGGGTGTCATTATGGTTGTACTTAGGGTGCTCTAGGAGCCCAGGGGAGGGCCTTAAACTGGTCTGTACTGGACATTGGGGTCCAAAATTGAATAAGACAATCTTTCCTGCAGGGAACTCAGAGGAAGACAAACTCCTCAGAACAGAGTATCGGGAGACCACGGGTGGGAATGGCTAATTCTTTGAGGGAAGGAGAAGGTGAGATGATGATTGAGCCTGGTCTTGAGTGAGTAGGTGTTTACTAGGCAAAGAAGAGGAAGGTTACTTCAGATGGAAGGGAAAGCTTGGTGTTTTAAGGAACAGTGAAACATTTGACATAATCAGAGTGTCCTGTGAGGAGGAGATGAAGCTGGTAGGTAGTCAGGGACCAGATTGTGAAGGGTGTTGGATGCCAGGATAAAGAATTTTGAACTGTAGACCACAGAATTTTCAAGCAGGGGAATGGCATGATCATTCAGGCTAGTGTGGAGGGTGAACTAAAGGGGGTTAGGTAAGTTGGAAATATGCCGAGTGCCAGCTGGGGCCCTCCTGACCCACAGAGAGCTCTGTATGATTGCCTCAGAGCTTTGCCAGTTCCACAGAGTGGGAAAGTCCAAACCCTCCACACAATTTCTGCAGATTCCTGAGATTCATATTCTCATGGTCTCCTCTTGCCTGAGGTTCCCAAGACTGTGCAAGCCTCTGTTTTGTCCCTGTCCGCCCTGTCGCAGAACTAAACACCTTCATTGGCTTCCCCAAGAAATTCTGCCACACCAAGCATTCTGTAAGTTTAGAATTCCTTTGAGAGATTGGAAGTCTTGGGGAGGGGCTCCCATCATGGCATGTCCCTAGCTTCCTCTCTTCCCTCCCATTGTTGCCCTTATCCTCTTCCAGTTGCCCTGGAAACTGCAGATTCTTTTACTCTCTTATGAAGATTTTATTTATTTATTTATTTGAGAGAGAGGGAGGGAGAGCTCAAGCAGGGGAAGGAGCAGAGGGGGAGGGAGAGGGAGAAGGGGAAAGAATCTCAAGCGGACTCCACGCTTTAGACCAACATGGAGCTTGATCTTAGGACGCTGAGATCATGACCTGAACCGAAACAAGAGTTGGGCACCGAATTGACTTAGCCACCCAGATGCCCCAACTTTTACTCTATTACAAAAAGCTGTTTGGCTTTCCTCAGTCCCTGATGCCAATTTGCATACACAAACACATCAAGGAGCTCGGCAGAACAAAGGCCTCACCATTTAACAACATAACACCTACCTCATGAAGCAGTTGCAAAAATAAACCAATAAATACCCTTGGAGATTCACAAAGCATGTAAGCATATTAAAGGTTTAAGACTCTAGTCTGAACAAAAGTGATTGTTTCCCCTTCCTTCTGAAATAACATAAAAGGAATCGAAATATAACAGCAGAGAGAATGGCAGGGAAGAGGGGTGGCATGTGCAGAGACTTCAACAATTTCTAAAAGTAGATGACACACACTGATGACTTAGCAGAGTGGAGGAAGCCACAGCCCAGAATTCAGACGATGGAAGTGAGAGCCAGTCTTCCTGGCAAGACCACAGAGAGGCTCTGAGTTCATGGTTGGCAGGTACTGATGACATGAAAAATGGGTCTAAAAACTATAGTTTGTAGAAGGTCTGTCTGTGCAGCTGCACCAGGCACCTCCCTCTCACCTCCAGAGTGGAGAGTAACTGATGCTTACCTCCAGACAAAAATAAAACACACATAGCAGGACCCCAGAAGGCTCATTCTATAGAAACCCAATAAATCTGGAGAAACCTGGTGTGTTTAGTATAGCATTGATATTGCAGAATAAAACTTTTGTCATTGTGACATTTACAAACCCTCTTCCCACCTCATCCTCCAACAATGACCCATCCACTCACACTACAGAAAAGCCTCCCAGAAGACCCCCTCAGCTTTCCTGTTCAAGAGAGTGACCTCTCAGGGAAACATACAGCAACAGAGGGAACCAACTCAATTACTGAGATTAATCAACTTGGTCTGTTACTCCATAAACTGTCAATGAGGAACACCAGAGTTAAGAAGATGGCTAGAGGCATGAAAGAGAGAG